TAAGGAAATACCTGGTCCTTCACAGCATCCAACCCAGAAAGGAAGTAGAATTATAAAACACCATAAGATCTGTTTATGAAGCACCTGTGTCAGTGCTTAGTGTGAGTAAATTACACTTGTGGGACAGGTGCACATCTGGGAGCTCTTCTCTTGCCAGGATTTCTATCCAGATGGGAGAGAACTGCATTCCTTGCATCCAAGTCTCCACTACCAAATGGAAATTAAACTTGCTGTTACTGATGAAGATACTGAGTACAAAGAGGAGAGGGACCATGAGGTCACTTGCAGACTAGCTCTAGGCAGTCTGGCAAGAACAGCATAAGGGACTAGAGCTACTCTATAGTGGTGGTTGTGATCTCCAGAAGAAACAGGGAAACAAAGCATGTCCCAGACTTGTCTTTCTTCTCAGCTTCAGCCAACTGCCCATTTGGCACCAAAGCAGTGAGGTACAGGCACACTCTGCTCCACTGGTGACAGGGGCAGGGGAAAGGCATTCATCCCAGCAGATGACAGAGGCATCAGTAGCAAGCTGAGACTTTGATGCCTACCAAAAGGCTAGGAGGAGCACCTTGGAGTCCTGAATTTTAGATGAGTATTAGGTAAGACCATCACCCTGGAATGCACATGCTTCACAGCTAGACCTGAAGTGCATTGGAGCTATTCTCCCCACCCAGTCCCACATGAAGTTTGAGGGAGTTTGAATGCAGAAGGCAGCAGGGAATTTGGGGAAAGATTGAGCATCTCCTATAGCAAGCAGGATGACAGCAGATGCTAGCACAACATGAGCTAACAGCAAGTTATCTTGCTACATGGAAAGCTTCTAGCTTGCATTAGACAAGTCTGAAATGCACTCTTTAACATCGGAGAAAAAACCCAAAACCATTTATTCAAAAGGCTTGTTAGAGGCGATAACCAACCAGAACAGCTAATACAGGAAAAGTTTCCACAGTCTGGGACAAAAAAGGTCCTAGGTTTTAGACAGTTTATTAAGAAACCGTGAGCTACTGCAACAGCATACTAAGGAACCTTGTCTCATTTGGAAAATTGACAGATTTAGTTCATTTTGAATGACAAGAACACTCATGTCCCTAGCCCCCGTTTCCTCTCAGCACCTCTGCAGGACCTCAATGTAATGTCACCCTGCAATAGCCATGCTGCAGAACATCCTACACAAACTCCAGTTGTGCAACTTTGGACAGGCAGAGAAGAAAGATAAATTTTTGCTCCTGGCACTGCTGTAAACTACAATTCAAATACAAGTGCACTTTTGAGAACTCCTGCACTTCTGCAGTTTGGGCAATACCCCTGGGGAATCTATCCCTGGGCTCAAATGAGTACAGCTTAAAATTATATTCCTCCATGTATAAACATTGTCATTAGACTTGTACTTTTAAAAAATAAGATCAACCAAGGCCACAGCCAGGCTCTGCAGATAAAGTAGTAGCTTATCTCTTATAAACATTTTTAATTACAAGTAGTCCTCACTTCAGGTAATGTAACTGCCACAAAGTATCTGCACACACACACAGTCCCTAAACTTTCACAGAAAGCCCAGGAGTAACCACTCTATAAGTAAAGAATCCTACCTCACAGCAAAGTAGGGGAGGGGGCACAATGGCCAAGATAGTCTTAATGTGGGGGAAGAGTAATTTGGAGTAAATACAATTAAAAAAGGGATTTTGAAAACCCCTCATATAAAGGATCAAGGAGATTAAAGCAAAAAACTGTTTCAAAATGCACAAGGCTTTTGGAGACCAAAAAATTACTTGCATTTAAATCAGAAATCAATGGCATCACACAATTTTGTTGTTAAAAAAAGGGAAAGAAAAGTGTAAATCTGTCTAAAGATCAACATTTATAAAGTTTATCATTAGCTCCAGAGACCAGCGTAATTTCCATGTAGTCCTGATGGAAGGGGGCCTCCTGCCACGAAGAGTTTTGTTCCAGATGAGTCATAGCAGTGGGTGTAAACAGCATTTGGAAAAAAATTTATGTCAGAAAAATAATTCCTCCAGGTTTCATCATGATTCTGTTAAAGGAAAGTTTAGATTGTTATTGTTGCCAAACAAACCCAAAACCTTGTTGTACAAAAGCAGAAGGTAGCTTTCAGAGCCTAAAAAGGGATCTTTTCTGTTAATAATTCCCTTAAGCTTCAGACAGATCAACTTGAAGATACCAGAGTTGTCCTGAAGCTTTTTCTGAGGACATTTGGGCCAAACATTGGAGGGGGGAAGGTGAAGGGTAGGGAAGATATCAAGTTTCATAAGTTTTTAAAGTTACGTCACAACGATACAAAAGATAGTAGAGAGAGGTTAGACAAAATGATTAACTGCTTTATGATAACATTTCAGGAAACTGAACTCAAGTGCCTGCCATGGCATTACCTCAGGAAGCCAGAGTTTCTAAAATTGCACACAATTAAATTAAATCTCTCTAACTTTGAGTACCATGTTAGAGTAGCATGCTTTTAAAGGAAGACAATGTATTTTGTGTTTGATGTTCTGAAAACTGTTAGATTACATTTGAAAATATAAAGTTATAAAATCTAGTTAATATATGAATCAGTGCATTAGAAACGTAGTCAGTATGCCTTACACTAACCATTCAATACACTTTCATAAAGCTTTTGTAGAAAGCAATTCTGCAGCACTTCTTGCTTTTCATTATTACAGTTATCAGTTACATGATCACTGTTTTACTGGGACCCATGACTACAAAAAGAACCAGTTCGAGCCCTACGGCATTCCTATGTAAAGGGTCTCCAACAGCTACAAGATACTCACCAGCCAGCCTTTCCCAGTAGTCAACTTTAAAGTTTCACTTCCTCCTAATTTCTGCTTCTGTCCATAGCAGGCACGTGGGGGCTTTTCCTCCAGGAACCTCTGGGCTCTGATATCATAAAACAATAAGGAGCCTTGCCCTGTTCCTACTGTGATGATGTGCTCGTAGAAGCTCACTGATCGAATACCTGTCAAACAGAGAAGGGACATAAAACACAGTAAGATGGATGCTTTGGTTCTGCAGTGCTGCTGCTTGAGGTCTAATATTTTCTTTAAGAGGAACTACCTATTAGTATTCTCCACAATACAAATTTCCCCACTGTTATGGAATAGTGCAGATAAATCCCCTTGATACTAATGAAACAGCAGCTTCAATTACATATACTACTTCCCTTCTCCATCAGCTACACTGATGGTGGTGCATAGTAAGAAGTCTGATTCTCAGCAGACTCCAGCTCTGCTAGATAAGCAAAGATCACAAGCCATTCAGGATCAAGAGCAGCTTTGCTCTGTCTGCCATGAGCCTCTAGGCAAACACACCATGAGGAAGTACATGGCAGCAGACAAAGGAAAAAACATCACATTGGTTTCCTCCATGAGCTCACACTCTATCTAGCTACCTGCCAAGCTGCAATAAGTAACTATTTGAGAAAAATTACTGTCCCAGCTGCCACCAAATATAATTTTGCCAACCAACAGGCTAGTTGTAGGCAAGTATAACCATAATAATCATGAGTCACTTTGTTGCTAAGATAGATTAAGCTCTTAAATAATTTTGAAGCTATCCTTGCTCAAATATTCTCTCACAAGCCCACCTTATTCTTTGTAGCTAGCACATTTAGCAGTTAATGCAGCAATGAAAACAGACTAAGAATCCTACAACCCAAGTACCATCACATTACACCAGCACATGGGAAGCTACAACAGGTTTCCAGTCCAAACAAAACATTCTAGCACAGTTCAGTTATGTCATTAGATTGAGTAAAAGGAGTACATTTTGTTTGTATGAAATGGTTGGGATATCTGTACAGCAACTCAAGTTTATATATGCAATGTTCATAGCATGGGAAATAAACAAGAGTTAGAAGCTATTGTGCACCAGGGAGACCATGATATAATTGCCATCACGGAAACATAATGAGATGACTCGCATGGTTGGGGTGCTGCAATGGATGGCTACAGGCTCTTTAGAAAGGACAGGCAAGGCAAGAGAGGTGGTGGGGTGGCGTTAATATGTTAAGCAGTGCTTTGACTGCCTAGAATTCAATGTTAGACACACCAAGGCAGAATGCATATGGGTAAGGATAAAGGGGAAGGCCAATGAGGTTGATATCCTAGTGGGAATCTGCTACAGACCACCTGACCAGGATAAAGAGACTGACGAGACATTCTTTCAACAACTTGGAGATATCTTGCGTTCACTAGCCCTTGTTCTTGTGGGGGACTTCAACTTACCAGATGTCTGCTGGAAGTACAACACAGCAGAAAGGGGCCAATCCAGGAGGTTTCTGGAATGTACGAATGATAACTTCCTGCTACAGCAGGTAAGTGAGCCTACCAGGTGTAGTGCCATGCTGGACCTACTGTTTACGAACAGGGAAGGGCTGGTGGAAGATGCAGTGGTAGGAGGTCGTCTTGGGCACAGCGACCATGGTATGATAGAATTTTCAATATGTGGTGACGTTAGGAGGGTCGTCAGCAAAACCCCTACCTTGGACTTCCGAAGGGCTGACTTTGGTCTCTTCAGGACGCTGGTTCAGAGAGTTCCTTGAGAAGCAGCCCAGGAAGGCTGGGCATACTTTAAGAATGAAATGATGAAGGCACAGGGGCAGGCTGTCCCGATGTGCCGAAAAAGGAGCCGGCGGGGAAGAAGACCGGCCTGGTTGAGCGAGGAACTATTACAGGAACTCAGAAATAAAAAAAGAGTGTATCAACTTTGGAAAAAGGGGCAGGTGAATCAGAAAGTATTCAAGGATATTGTAAGGGCACGTAGAAAGAGAATTAGAGATGCCAAAGCTCAGCTTGAACTTCAACTAGCCATCTCTGTAAAGCATAATAAAAAAAGCTTTTATAAATACATTAATAACAAAAGGAGGGTCAGGGAAAATCTTCATTCTTTATTGGATGAGGGGGGGGAACTTAGTAAGGGAGGACAAGGAAAAGGCTGAGGTACTTGACACCTTCTTTGCCTCGGTCTTTAACAAAAAGAATAGCTACCCTCAGGGCAACTGGTATCCTGAGTCGGTAGACAGGCATGGGGAGCAGAATCCCAGGAGGAAGTAGTTAGGGACCTGTTGTGCCACTTAGATCCCAACAAGTCCATGGGTCCGGCTGGGATTCAGCCTAGGGTGCTGAGGGAGCTGGCAGAAGAACTGGCTAAGCCGCTCTCAATCGTTTGTCACCAGTCCTGGCTGACTGGGGAGGTCCCAGATGACTGGAGGTCGGTCAATGTGACGCCCATCCGCAAGAAGGGCCGGAAGGAGGGTCCGGGGAAATATAGGCCTGTCAGCCTGACCTTGGTGCCTGGCAAGATTATGGAACAAATCATCCTGAGTGCCATCAAACGGCCCAGTCCTATTCAACATCTTTATTGACGACCCGGATGTGGGGATTGAGTCCACCCTCAGTAAGTTTGCAGATGACACCAAGTTGTGTGTGTGGGGGGGAGTGTTGATCTGCCGGAGGGTAGGAAGAAGCTGCAGGAGGACCTGGGCAGGCTGGGTCAATGGGCCGAGGCCAATGGCACGAAATTCAACAAGACCAAGTGCAGGGTCCTGCACTTTGGCCACAATAGCCCCCTGCAACGCTACAGACTGGGGGATGAGTGGCTGGAGAGCAGCCCGGCAGAGAGGGACCTGGGAGTACTGGTTGACAACCGGTTGAACATGAGCCAGCAGTGTGCCCAAGGTGGCCCGGAAGGACAATGCCATCCTGGCTTGTATCAGGAATAGTGTGGCCAGCAGGAGTAGGGATGTAATTCTCCCCCTGTACACAGCACTGGTGAGGCCTCACCTCGAGTACTGTGTACAGTTCTGGGCCCCTCACTTGGCTGGAGAGCTGCCTGGCAGAGAGGGACCTGGGAGTACTGGTTGACAGCCGGTTGAATATGAGCCAGCAGTGTGCTCAGGTGGCCCAGAAGGCCAATGACATCCTGGCTTGTATCAGGCTGAGGGAGCTGGGGTTGTTTAGCCTGGAGGAGACTCACGGGGGACCTTCTCACTCTCCACAACTACCTGAAGGGAGGTTGGAGTCAGGTGGGGTTGGGCTCTTCTCCCAGGCAACCAGCAACAAGACAAGAGGGCATGGCCTGAAGCTGCCCCAGGGGAGGTTTAGGTTGGATATTAGGAAGCACTTCCTCACGGAGAGGGTCATTAGACATTGGAATGGACTTCCCAGGGAAGTGGTGGAGGCACCATTCCTGGATGTGGCACTTAGTGCCATGGTCTAGCCGATGTGGTGGTATTAGGTCATAGGCTGGACTTGATGATCTTAAACATCTTTTCTAGCCTTGGTGATTCTGTGAAATCTAAATCTGAAGTCCCAGCTAAACAAGGAGAACAAATAGTATTGGAGAGATTCTGTATGTAGAAATTTGCAATTTTCAAATGGGAAAGCATTATGCAAGTCTTATACCTGCTGAAGTAGATTTACCCGATTCGTATAAGAATATCCATTTTAAATCAGAGAACTATAAATGCATCTGAGCAAGTTGGAGATATCTCCTCTCCCTCCATTACAAGGGCCTGGCTCTGACAAATGCATGCAGAAATCTTTAAGCCCTCTAGTAGTCAGCAAGAGCAGTTGCTTGGATAAGAGGAGAAAGGCACAAGAGGGGACATCCTCTTATTTTTGCTCCAAAAGTGCACCCAGAACATACACTTAACAGAAACAGGTGATGGGAGTATGAAAGCAGATGGCATATAAATGCAATATGGACTTAAAACGTACAGCAGGTGCATTTGGAAGCTTTGAAGTAACACTTCAAAGCACTTAAAACTCAACCCAGATTTTAGTCTGCAAATCAATAAACAGCCTACTTTCTAGAGGTGCTGCACTGCTCCAAGTCCCAGTGAGATCAACAGAAAGTTGGAACACTCAGTATCTTGGGAATTAATATTACTTAAGTGCCTCCACCAACATGCAAAAGAAAAAGATCCACCTACTATGCAGAACAGAAAACAGCATCAAAGGCTTTCTCCAGACATGAACTAGTGTCCCAGAGATGCTACCTACACATAGATCATCCCCCCAGCAGGGATGATCACATACTCAAGGCAGAAGCTTTCAGCCACCAGCCACCACTGGGCACCACACTCCAGTGTTTTGGTATTTCTTCCCTATGAAACTGAAGGGTGACAGTGTCAGGACCTCTACAGAGCCTTCACCGACAGTAGGTCAGGACAAGGGCTGTTGCTGGTAAGATGTTCAGGTGACAACACAAGCTGGTGAAGCACCCTTTCACATATATAAACTTCTCCTGTATCTGAAAGAAGCAGACCCTGACATTTATCTAGACAGCACCATTCAAACTCCAGTAACCACATAAAGAAAACTTACCTAATGCTTCCCTACATGCATTCTCTTTTGATAACTTGCCCAGTGAAGAGATGGATGCTTAGAGCCAAGCTAAATAAGGACAGTAACTTATTAGTTTGGGATTAATATAGTTTAAAATGGGCAAAACAGCACAGTGCCTTTTCATGCTGGAGCGCAAGTAGTGTTTGCCTCTGTACCTGTTGCAAGAAAGGATGAAGAGATAAACAGGAGGAGTCTGCAGATCAATGCATGGCCGTGTGACTGGTGCCATAGGCAGGGCTTTGGGATTTTCGATCATGGGCTGCTATAGGAGACACCTGGCCTGCTGGTGGCAGGTGGGATGCACCTGTCCCAGAGGGGCAAAAGGCTTTTGGGGCAGGAGTTAGTGGGGCTCATTGACAGGGCTTTAAACTAGATATGAAGGGGGAAGGGGAGATAACTGGGCCTGTTAGGGACAAGCCCAAGAGAAACATACCAGGGCTTGAAGGATGGTGGACTAGGGAGAATTCTCACTCTGTTGTTTCATTTGAGAGAAAGGATAGATGTTTAGAAACCATGGAAGCACCTGAGAAGAGTCTGGTAGGAAATGGAGCCCACACTGGAAAAAAGGTGTTGGAATCATTAGCTCATCTGAAGTGCATCTATACCAATGCACGCTGGGTGAGCAACAAACAGGGGGAGCTTGAAGCCAGGATACACCAGGAAAACTGTGACATAGTGGCTGTCACAGAAATGTGGTGGGATGCATCACATGACTGGAGTGCCACAATCGATGGCTACAAGCTCTTCAGGAGGGATAGAAAGGGAAGGAGAGGGGGTG